ATATATGAGCTAGCTAGCTTTGTTAATTTGTTATCCTAATTTTTTTTTTTTTTTAGCTTTTGGACTGCTTTGTGATCCCGGTGGTCATGTTTCTGTCCTGGTGGCTCTTGAGGACACGCTACCGTCCCATCCACTTTGTGTCCGTCTGCATCTGTTTGTTGGGCGTTGGCGCCATGGTGGGGGCTGACCTACTGGCGGGGGGGGAGGGGGATATATATATGAGCTAGCTAGCTTTGTTAATTTGTTATCCTAATTTTTTTTTTTTTTTAGCTTTTGGACTGCTTTGTGATCCCGGTGGTCATGTTTCTGTCCTGGTGGCTCTTGAGGACACGCTACCGTCCCATCCACTTTGTGTCCGTCTGCATCTGTTTGTTGGGCGTTGGCGCCATGGTGGGGGCTGACCTACTGGCGGGGCGAGACCAGGGCTCCAGTAAGATTACTGTTTTCCTCAACTGTGTCTGCATCAATGCAAACAACATGGAAACTTCCAAGTGATGATGTGTTGAGTTGCTCTGAGATTCTGAATAGAAATAACATTTAACTCCCTCACTCACCAAAATCATCTTACAAATGGCACCGAGAACTCTCACACAAAATTGAATACTCTCATTCACCCCAAAAACCACACACACACACACACACACACACACACACACACACACACACACACACACACACACACACCAAGCCTTCACATTCACCTCAAAACACTCACTCAAAAAAAGAACAAAGAACACTCTTACTCACACCCAAAACACTTCTCACAAGCACCAAACATTCAAAACCAACTCTTCCTCGTACAAAGAAACTCACAGTGAGACCCAAATACAGAAAAACACGAGGAAAAAACTCTTACACACACCCCGAAAGTCCCATACAAATCAAACTCTCACACATTAAAAAACTCCCTCACTCACTCACTTAAAATAGCTCCCACGCAGACCAAAACACAGAAACAGAAAAATTACTTTCAGCCCAAATTTTCATTCTCCCCCAAAAGCTCTCACCTTTGAGAAAACTCCCACATTTACCAAAACACTCAAACAGCAGAAAACTCTCACACTGTCAACATTTCACACACACCACAAATTACCCTCTCCCAATACCAAATAACTCACAATCAACCTAAAAAAAAAAAAAAAAAATCCACTCACCAAAACTCTCTCTACACACCCATACCCCAAAAAATTTTCATTCCCACCCATAAATATGGAAACAACATAATTGGCTTCTTTCGTCAATGTATGAGTGTTATTTTGGGGGGGTTGGGGGTAAGAGTGTTTTTGATGTTTTTTCGATTTGAGCGACATTTTTGTTGTTTTTGTTCTCGTTGCCCTGTACACACTATACACTTGGTCCGTTTTTTTTTTCTGGGTTTGTGTAGCCTCCAACATCCTGCTGGGTGATGGCCTAGTGCTGCTCAGTGCTGCCCTCTATGGGATATCCAACGTCTGGCAGGAATACGCCGTCAAGAATCAAAGCCGCCTCGAGTTCCTGGGAATGCTGGGGTTCTTCGGTACCATCATAAGTTCAATACAAATGTAAGGTTACGGTACACGCATGTAAATATACACAGTTAAGTGTACATATGTTGGTGCGCACATGTAAGTATAGGCGTGAAAGTGTGCATACTGTAGCAAGTGTGCAGATGAAGTATTAACATGTCTGTAAGTTTGAAGTATTTTTTAATGGTATTTTACATGCGTGCAACATAAAAAACCCCTACCATGGTTAGTGTTGTGTCATAAAAATTCAATGAAAATATGACTAGATCATTGTGTACAATATAAGGTACAGTCCACAGATTTGAATTAACAATGAGCCAACTGCATAACACTGCTTCTCAAGTTAGACGGATGCAGTTGTACAGTGTACATGGTTTTTTTTGTATACTAAAAAAAAAAAAAATTGTTATATGAAACAAAAACTCACCTGGTGGCTATTTTTATTTTTATTTTTGGCTGCTGTTTAAGAACAGCGCTTGTGTGCGACACATATAAAGAAGACGACAATTCCCAGATTTGTCTCTTCTCCTGGTCGGCCATGCACGAATCTAGAAATAAATATTTGAAATCAACCCCAAAGGCTCATACATATAGTTAATGATTTTTTTTTCAATTTTAGTTGTACTTACTTTGTGAGTTTTTATTGACCAAAACAAACTTGGTGTTTACAAATGAGCGTTAAAGCCTGATGTCTTTGTTCTGTGTTGTTTTAGGGTGGCCCTGGAGCTTCGCCAAGTGTCAGCCATCCAGTGGAGCTGGCAAGTAGGTCAGTGGCACACGACAACATCGTCACGTCATACATGACCTTTGCTTTTTTTTTTTTTTTTTTTTTTTTAATCTATCAATAAATCTCCATTTTTCTTGCGGTCAGCTCTGCTGTTTGGGGCCTTCGCGTGTTGCATGTTCAGTTTGTACAGCCTGATGCCCGTGGTCATAAAGGAAAGCAGCGCCGCCGCCGTCAACCTGTCCATGCTCACCGCCGACGTCTTCAGCATCTTTTGTGGCATCTTCATCTTCCACTACAACGTGAGTAGTGAGCAACGTGAGTAGTGAAAAGGCCCCGATGACCGTGACGAAGACGACGAGGGCAAAAACCGTGGGGATGAAGACGATGCACATGACGACGATCACGGTGACAACAACGAGGGCGAAGATGGTGATGACACTTGACAATGCGAACGAAGACCATGAAAATGACAACGATGGTGATTTCCAAAACAAGGATGAAGATGATCAGGACGACAACCTCGACGGCGATGAGAAGATGAGGATGAAGACGATGATAATAATGTAGACGAAGCCTCGCGTGGTGGGATGCCTCCAAATGGCGCGAGGGGGAATGCCGGGGCTGTTGGGCCCCAGACGTGGCTAAATACCCACTAGCCGGCGGGGAAGGAGGTGGGGTCTCACCGGAAGGTGAGTCGCCCAGCGCTCGCCCCGCTGGAACGGAGGGGAGTGGGAGTAGCTGCCCCACAACCCTCCTTAAACAATAATCAAGCGAGGGCCCTTCTGGGGCCCGCACTGGGTGTGAACCTCGCGAGGCACCAGCGAGAGTCGTACCGGGTGTGGGACCCGGGAGGGGGGGCAAGTCGCTGACGGGGGCCAATTGCCCAGAATGATGAAGACAACAAGAATGACGATAAAGGCAATGAAGATGATGATGGTGATACTGATCAAGGTGATAGTGATGATGAAGACAATGAAGGACAACGATGATGATGATGGTGACAATGAAGATGATGAAGGTTGATGAGGAAATGAAGATGATGATGAAGACGCTCTGCGAGCGTATCACCGTGCCAGCTGAAAGATTTAATAAGTAACCGAAGAATTCCAATGGGGTCAACTCGACCCTGCCCTCACTAACTCAGGATCGTCACATGACACCCTCCCTCTCTTCGAAGCATTCTGGTCATGCAAACGTGCTGGCTTGAAACATTAACCCTGGTTTAAAACACAAAAAAGGCCAAGCCTGTCGTGAAGCCCTGTTTTCAAAACTGAAACTTGAACACTTGTTTGAAACCTTAAGCCTTGTTTAAAAGGCTCCTTTGAAACCTAACTATTCTTTGAAACCCTAACCATGGCTTGGAACAACCCTTATTTGAAACCCTACTTTGTAACCTGAAGACCTACTTTGAAATTCTAACTCTGGCTCCAAAAAAACCCTCCTTTATAACCTGAAACTCTTTCGAAACTCAAATTTGAAGCCCCAATCCTGTCTTCGGATCCTACTTTGAAACCATTACCAGTGATAAAAACCCTATTTTGAAATCTAAACTCTAATCTTATATTTAAGACTCTAAGCCACATTTGAAACTCTAATTCTGTCTTGAAATCCTGCTTTGAAACATTAACCCTCGTTTGGAACCCTACTCTGAAAGCCTTACCCTGTTTCTCTCAGTTCTCAGGTTTGTACGTGGTGTCTCTGGTGGTTATCTTTGTTGGCTTCATCACCTTCAACGCCGTACCCATCGACCCCTCCTCCTCCAGCTGTGAGAGGGGAAGCCACGACAACACTGCTCAGCCATCCAACCAGGAAGTGGCGGTGATCGAAGGGAAGCAGTGTAAGAGAATTCCTCTTGACTGCACTCGATTGTGAAACTTCAGACTTTTTTTTTTCCAGAATCGCTCCTTTCACCACAACTGCTGAAAAGCCTGAAAGCCAAAAACTTGTTTGAAACCCCAACTTTGGTTTGAAATGCTTACTTTAAACCCGAGACGTATTTTGAATGACACTTCAATCGCACGGGTTGAAGTCATTTTAAAAGTTGAAGTTCAACAGAGAATTACTTCATTCAACTTCTTACGGTCACTTCCTTTATTGTGGATCATTTATTCCAACAGAGTGATATTTCCTTAAAAAAAAAAAACAATCAAAAAAAGACTTTTTGAATTGATAATGACAGATTGAAACAGTTGATTTTATTCGCGATTTCATTAACAGCAAATCGACTTTTTACATTCAATCCACCTGCAAATCTGACTGAAATGTCAAATTTCATCATGAAAAAGTTTGATTAAATGCAAATAGAAATAGTTCATGTTTTAATGCAATGTGCTGTAACTTGTAGATTTAACATAAGAAAAATAATACAAAGTGTTCACTTAAATGTTGACCAGAAAAGTGATTAAATGTTAAAAGGTAACGTGACTCAGGCTACTCACTGTTCATCAGCAATAAAAACATTAAAAACATGCCAAGTGGTGCAAATCATCAACACTTTAAAGCAAAGACAATAAATCCTACCATGAAACGGTGTGCTCATTTGCTTATCTTACCCTAGCATAAAGACAGGAAGTAGACAATCGAGAAAAAAAAAACTCACTTTATTAGGTACGCCACCTAAAGCAATCCCCCCCAGCTTCTCAGGCGTTGCCACTGACAGGCAAGACCGGAATGTTCAGAGACTCCAAAGACGAGCGCACCTCTGGAAGAAGTTCTTCCTTGTCACTGAAGAGAAACAAAACAAACCTGTCAAATCGCAAGCAGGTCGAGAACTCGCGTCATAGCGCCACTTACATGACGGGAGACAGACGCAGACATTGCAGCATGGTCACCACCAATGTGACCACTCTAGAACAGACCCTGGTACTGATCCGAGTAGAACCAACCCAGATACTGGTAATCTCGTACGGATCAAAATACGGACAGTACGGTAGGTACTAATAATAGCACCAATCCAGGTACTTATTCTAGTACTGATCCTGATTTTAGTATTGATTGCAGTACGGATCCAAGCACTAACTACAATACTGATTGTCGTACTGATCCTAGTCCAGACAGTGGAACTAATTCCAGCACCAAACCAGGCACTGAATACAGCACCAATTCTTGTACTAATTCAAGTACTGAAAGAGGTCTTAATTCTAGTGCCAACTAAAATACTTATGCTAGCACAGATCTTGGTACTGCCCGGCACTAAATGCAGTACAGATTCTTCAAAGTGCTGACGGTGTTAATAATTCTACAAATGACCCTAGTACTGATCCTTGTACAGACCTCGGCACTGACTGGAGTATGACCCAAGGCAGAGCTTTTAGTTTTGCCGTTTGGAGTGAGGCTAGGAATTGTGTCTGGCGCGATGGCTCCACCCACCTGACGACGGAGGCTCTGCGCGTCACGCTCAAACGTCTCAGCATGGTCACCACCAGTGTGGACACCAGCACAGTGCAAATGGCCGCCAGGGTCAGGAGAACAAAGAAGGCTAAACACCACCAAGGAGAAGACAAACATAGAATTTATATTGCTAATACAAGTAATACAGTATATTAGGTCATCTGTAAGGGCTTGGGCTTCGGAGCCAGAAGGATAAAGGGTTTGAGTCCCACTTTGGACAAATTTGTAAAAATGGCAACTTGTTGCTTCCTGGCTCTTGTTGAGGTGCCACGCTATACAAAGTGCAGTTTGTGCGCCTCTTTCACTCTTTTACTTGACAGTCCTTCAAGGCACTCAGAGCATTTTCAAACTGTCTCCTCATTCAACTGAAGATGACTCAGCATCGGGAGCAACTGGGAGTTCAGCATCTTGCTCAACGGCACTTTTGCATGGTCAAGGGGGGCTCAGAATCAAAAACACAAGCTTTAGGTTGGGAGAGGACCACTATCAACTGGTGAATGCGGCCAAATGGGGGTGGGGCTCCCCAGGGGTCAATACTCGGACACCAACTAGTTCTTTGTGTGGTGGCGGTGGGAGTTTGAGCTTCTTTCCCATGTTGTCACAATCGGTTGAGATGCTAACCGGGAGTGAACGTACCAGTTAACGCATAAAGCGGAAGCACTGAGTCCATTGGCTTAAAAACAAATATGAAGTAGCTGGCGTATCATGTGTGGATTGTGAGGATTTACCGGCGGTCCAGCGGCTGCGTGTTTTATCCCGACCTGCAAAGTTACCTGAAGGAACAAAAACAGGGGAACATGAGACACCATAACAGACAAAAACTTTAAAAAACAGATTCTAGTACCCATCCTGGTTCTGTTGCTCGTATTCCCCTTGGTACTAAATATACAGTGTGGCTCATGGTTCTGAGCGAGTATGTAGTACAGAGCCTTGTACTGAGAACTGCACTTTTGTAGTATCGACCCATATACTAAATATTGGACTGAACATAGTACTGATACTAGAACAAAATGTTCTGATGTTAGCACTTCATAATAATCCTGTTAATGAGCTCAGTATCAACCCAGGTAATAAAAATAGCACCAAATGTAGCATTGGTAGATGCTAATTCAAGTACCAACCAAGGGTTTAAACATAGCACCGTCCTAACTTAAATGCAGACACTGCTACTTATACTAGCATTGATACTGTTACTCCCATGACTAAATCTAGCAACTATCCTGGCGCTCACCCAACTACCAACTCAGGTACTAAATATAGCACCGAACGTAACACTGACCCTCATACCGACAAAGAAATAAAGTATAGTACCGACCCTTATATTAACAGTGGTATTAAATCTAGTGCTAACAATGGTATTTTTCCTCGTATTGATAATTGTACTGTTCCCTTTACCAAGCATGGTACCAGTTGTAATACCGGAAGTGGCAATGTACCTCTAGACTGTATATATGTTCGTATCATTCATTTCCTGTTTTAATATACTGTTTTCACTTTCTTTTCTTGTTGTATTAGTTATGTTTCTGTTATATATAAAGTGCTTTGTTACAGCTGCAGCTGTTGTGAAATGTGCTTGTAAAGTTGCATTATATTGTATTGTACTAATGCTAATTATTAAATCTTAGTACCGATCCTGGTAAACATCTGACCCAGTTCCTAATTATTGAATGTATCACTAATCCTAGGACCAACTTTAACACGGATGCCATTACTGACCCTGGTTCTGAGCCCAGTGCCAACCTTGATAATAAATCCAGTACCAAAACGTATCCCAATATGAGTAATGACCGGAGTACTGATTCAAGTACCAATCCCGTTACTGATCTCAGTACAGACAACCATGGTGAGAATAAAAATAAAAGTGGGCCGTTACCATCTGCAACACCGCTGCATCGGGTCTGACACTCCTCAGCACTGCTGAATTGGTTTTTGTTGCCACCGCAACCTCCATAGATGAATGATTGACAGCTGCCTGTTGCCGGGTCGTAGTAAAACTTGGGGAAGGCGGCGCGGCAAGGACCCGGGTCAGGAGATGACAAACAGTCGTCTTCTGAAACTAAACAAAATATATATACAGTCAAACCTCGGTTTTCGAATGTCTCGGTTCTCACCCAATTCGGTTTTCGACCAAAAATTTCGAGTTTTTTATGCCTCGGAACAAATTTCGGTTATCGAACAAACTGAGCGCACTTGAATGCACCATTTGACTCCTCTCGCCTTCCTTACACGAGGAAGTGACTCTTCCTCGGGTAGACGAGGAAGTGACGCTTCCTCGTGTTGCTTTCCATTGTGAGCAGACGTGTTCAGTAGACATTTTTATTTTAAAAAGAGCGTGGTTTCGGTTTTCAAACAATTTCGGTTTTCAAACAGCCTTCTGGAACGGATTATGGACGAAAACCGAGGTTTGACTGTACTGCATCTAACGTTCAAGGGCAGAACTTGTTTGAGGTCATCTGACTAGAAAGACAAAAAGGGCAAAGTTGAAAGAAGTCAGAGAGTACCTGAAGGCAAATCAGATTGGAAAAGCTTCTTGGGGGTGGGACCAACGCTCACTGCAGGACACACACACACGCACGCACACACACACACACACACACACACACACACACACACACACACACACCTTGTAAAATATTGCATCTCAAATCACAATACTAGGGGAAAAAATATATCTCAATTATATAACTTTTCGAAATGGTCCAGCCCTAAACTAGGGTAAGAGATCTGGAGAACTCAACCCATTTAATACATGTCAGGTACTACATCTCACAATGACCCTTGAACTAAATCTATCACTGACCGTAGCACTAAAACTAGTAGCACTGAAGCAGATGTAGTATTGATGGTAGTATTGTTGTTACCGTGGCAAGTATCCAAGCAGCTCTGTTGGCTGTCGTAGTTGTTCTTGTTGCCTTTGCAGCCTCCGTAGATGAAAGTCTTGCATTGGCGCTGCTGGCTGTCGTAGTACCACTGCCGGAAGGCCGCCCTGCACGGACCCGCCATCGGCTCGGCCTCACACTGCTCTAATGGGCCCACAGCAAGTGAAAGTCAACCACGTGAACCGGTACCCCAACCATGGCCACTAAATGCCACCACTGTTCAACTTCTTTGTTTGAGAGCGCAAAAAATAAAAGAAGTATCTCAAACCAAAGTATCATACCAGAATAGTCCTCAGCAGAGAGCACTACAGGAGAGAGAAGAGAGAGCGAGAGATGTGTCACATTACACTATCGCTGTACTTCATGAATACATCAATATATCAATAATCTCTCCGTATCAAGATGACCAGTCACTCACACTTTACCTTCATCGTCGTAATCGTCCCACAGTTTACCTGCAAAGACAAAATACTGAGTACTGATCTGGTACTGGTCCAATTATTTACAGTTGTACTAAATCTAGCACCAAACCAAATACTAATCCTTGTACCAATCTATGTTCTGGTCTGAATACTGATAGTTGTTCCTAATCTTGTGCAAAAGCAACTACTAATCCAACTCTG